CGCCCATAAGAAAAATATGGTTAGAAAACGCGCGAATGAGTGATGTATACTAAAACTACTTCAATTAAACATGGCAGTAAACGTGAGCAAATGAACACGCATACGCATGCAAAAACCACGCTACATTCTATGGTCTAGCACAATCCCTGTTCAAGCTCATGACAGGCATTCGAAACTTCCAACCTACTACGGCGCCAAGGCGTCGAGGTCCATACACGTCGACTGTGAATCATACTCGCAGATGCTCCTTGAAGCTGACTACGACAGCATCGGCAGGATAGCAGATGAGAATAACAAAGTTGCTGTGGTGTGGAGCCGCGACGGGAGTTGGAGTTGAGGAGTGCGAACAGTAGGATAAATGACGACCAGGATCCCATGACGGCAACTAGAAGAGGCGATGCAATGCGTACTGATGACAGCAGCCGTGGCCTGAGTCCGCAGCTATGCACGGCCACATGGTGTCCTCTCACCCATTGCTGCCTGCGGTATATTCCCTGTGAGACCACTGCGCTCGCCACATCAATGCCTCTATGAATTTGAGGAAAGGCACGGCACCCCTCACTAAAGACGCTTCCCGACAAAAGGGGGGTATCGGATAGCCTCAGTGGAGCAATCTCACGTGCCAATGTTGTTGCATAAATGACAACTATTATAGAACTCGTCCTGCGAAAAGTATTCGACAGTAGATACAAAGCTGATTGTGAGACGAGCTACTGTAGCTACTAAGCAATTGTGGACCCACTCAAACGTTTCTGCGTCTTATTTACATTCCTTTTTATTTATTTTCCTTTTTATTACACTCGTTTTCAGATTCATGAAAGATTAAAAGACTGTGATGACAACATAAAGTCAGCGGGATATTTGTTAGAATATAGCGCGGTGAGCAACTGCATGGAGAACATCAAACTTATGACATTCTCGAGACATAAACGACTTAATTATTCAGATCACAGCATCCGTACTTCAGCTGAGTGCTGAACAGTTACGCTTTGATCCAGATGTGAATGAATTTGAACGCGATGTCGCAATTCTTATGCTAAAAGATGTTAGCCTTTTACCTTCTTTATCATTTTTCAATTATGACGGCGGGAGGTGATGGAAAGCTCTTTTAGACTACTTATGGATTTTTCAGCTCGTCAAATCCTTGCTTCAAGATTCCTCGTTATCATTCCTCACTTTTGAATATCCTTCCTTCCGCTCCTGCTTCTAGTTCCCCGAAACTACATACCTGGATGTCTTCTGTGTGAATATTTTGTCGTGTTTTCATTGCATGTGTTTGCTTTTCTGCTACCGGTGGAACCTCCAAAAAGTTCTCAGATGTCAGAGCAACCTTGTAACTTCCAGCTCCCATGAAGTTATCCACCGCCAGATTTGCTATTGTACTTACCAATACTGCTTATATTCTAATTTCAGCCTCAATTGACATATACGGGAGAAACAATGCATCGTCAAATAAAGACAAAGACGAAGGAAGATGGCAAGGTTCTTCTTCTTCGCATTATTGGATAGCTGTATAGTAGTGTAAAAGTGATAGACGACAGTTAATCCTTTTGGCATATTTAACCTTATAGTATGACCAGATGAGAGCAGTCAATGATACTGACAGCGAATCAATCTTGCACATTAACCTACCGAAGAAAGTCTGATAATAGATAATGCAGCATCTTTCTTTCCCCAGTTTTGCACATCTCCCAAGACAACAGAGTCTCCCATATCCCAGTTTATTGGCCTTGGAGGATTAGCATATGCACACTTCATAAACTCCGCGCTGACTTCTACCAACTCTATAAAAATGTCCTGAAAATTCTGCCAGCACAAAGATTCTTTCTGAAAAAGTAACTGATAGCAATAGAAAAGAGAGATAGTAGAGAAATGAAAGTGTAAGCGACACTAGAAAGGTGAAGCTATGATTTGAGGGGCTCTGCATGATGATGTTGGTTAGAAGCTTCTCTAGCTCCTGAACCAGGGAAATTACGGTATCCTACTTATATAATCGGCTAGCGTGTGTCTGTTGGTGTGTTTGTG